GGCTTGTGTACTGCATCATTACTGTGTCTGTTCCCCTTTCGGGCTTGAACTGATGGTAAAACTAATGACATTATTTACTGTCTTTACATTTATTTTGAAAGCTGAAGCTCGCGATTATGGTAAGGGGCGTTACATTTCTGACGAGTGCTTGCGGTGTTCGGCCAATCACAATGCACTGGGTCAGCTGGCCAATCAGAGCAGACTGCGCTTGTCGGAAGGAGGGACTTTGTAGGAAACGAAGCATTTGAGAGGGCGGGGCATAGAGGACCTACAATAATGTACAGTATTTGAAAAATAATGTGTTTTTTGAACATTAAAGCATGTCAACATATTCTATTACACCAAATACACAAAATAATGATCTTTAAAAAACCATCATATGACCCCTTTAAGATAAGATTAGTGTTTTTAAAAATGTATTCAGTCTTTGTGCCCCACAAAAAATATCATAATGAATTTTAATTCAGAAATTACCAACAGATCTCATCTTAGAAGAGAAATTCAAGTCAACGAATTGCATTTTTAATGTATTTTTTAATAAATGAAGAGATCACTTTTTCAACATACAAATGTATTTACTTTCAGGCAAACACCACACCTCCAAAACTTAATCGAGATGACGCGAAAGGAAGAGGAGCTCTGCTGTCAGACATCTGCAAAGGCACCAACCTGAAGAAGACCACTGTGGTCAATGACAGAAGTGCACCTATAATTGAAAGTAAGTCATCTGTAGTGCACTACTGCTGAAAATACAATTAATGTTTGACGTGACCCAGCTAACCATGCAGTGTTTTTGTTTTGACCTGAAGGTCGAGGTGGCAGCAGTGGTGGAGGCGGAGGCGGAGGCGGAGGTGGCGGTGGTGGAGGCGGAGGTGGTTCTGGGCCAATGGCCATGGGAGGGCTGTTCAGTGGAGGAGTGCCCAAATTACGACCAGTCGGAGGTATGTTCCCCTTTCACAGTAGTGTAGTGCAGTGATTTTTTTTTTTTAGGGCTGCTCGATATGTCAAAATAAAATCTATGTCTATAAATATATGCTTTAGCGTTTTGGAGTGAAGTTCCATTTACACACGTGCAGTTCATGAGAACGGCTTGGTTCATTTTTAATTGCTGGCAACCCTTTAAAATAAAATATTGATGGTTTACTTTTTAAAAATAAAGAAAGTAAAACAAAAATATCAGTATTGTAATTTTACAGTAAAATAAAATGATTTATATTACTCTTTTTATTTTGCAGTATTGTTACAATATAGTTCTTATTTTTAGTATTTTAAATTCAGAATAATCACAATTATTTTATAGTCATATTTAATAAATCAAAAGCAGTGGAAATGTGGCCTGTGAAACATCCAAGTTTTCCTCAAATTGTTGAGCCCTAAAAGGATTTCACAGTCAAAACAAATCTTCAGAGTAAAAAGATTTTAAAATAATTTTTATTTTCTAAGTAGATGCACTACCCAACAAAATCACCCTGCTAACTCTAGAATGATTCATTCTTTCCAAATATGAAATCATCTGGTGAAAATGCATGTTTTTCATCATTTTTTCATATCGCAATATATATTGCAGGAAAAAAAATTTGCAGTGTCACTTTTTCCCAATATCGTGCAGCCCTAATTATTATCTGAAAGTGTTTTATTAATGTGTCCACACAGACAGCTCTGTAGGAAGGTCAGCGCTGCGGCCGCCTGGGTCTAGGCCTGCAGTACCTCGTGCTGCGGGTCATTCTGAACCAGACTGCTCCGTTCGTGGTGATGGAGGTCGCTCCTCACCTCCAGAACAGGCACGAAATCAACGTCCCTCTGTGCCAGACGTCTCCAAACCGTCTGCTGCCAGCAGCTCCTCAAAACCCACCAACTCCGCTCCACCTCCACCCCCACCATTCAGTCGCGGTGGCAATCGCGGACCCACCTCAGGCCAACAGGGTTCTGGGGCACACAGTCGTGAGAAACCCCTTCCACCACCGCCTGCAAGCAAGGGGCCTCCACTGCCACCATCTTCTGCTCGGGATGGGCCTTCTAGACATCCCCCTATTTCATCTCGCTCCTCTTCATCCTCCTCCCCTTCCTCAAATGCACCTCCACCTCCTCCTCCTTATCGTCAGCCGACTAATGCTGCAAATGGTGACCCGGCCCCTGTGTTGCCGCAGAGACGAAACTCGCTGAACAAGAGAAGCCATGCCAATGCTAACGTCCGTAGCCAGGCTCCTCCTCCTCCACCCCCTGCCCAGCAGAACAGACGACCCCCACCACCATCTCGTGATCCAGTGGGGCGTAGCACAGGTAAAATACAAGCTGAAAATTCTCTCACTATAGACCTTAGTCAGGATAGCGCCATATTTGATTTCTAATGGGAATGAAAACAAGGCTGTGAGGATAAAAGTACGGTGTGTTCAATGCATTATACTGTTGTTTACCATCATACCAATTGTTCAACTGATTAAATGTCTTTCCAGGGAGGAAAAAAAACTTTCAGTAGAAAAAAAAACACTTAAGTTTTGAAAGTTTTGAGTTGTGAAAATTATGTGATCTAGGACAATTATATAGTGAATGCCATTGTAAAGACTGTAAATCTATCCATCACAGCCTCATTTTCATCCATGTTAAATTCAATATGGCATCTAACTTGACTAAGGTCTATAGAATGCATTAGTGCCTGGCCACTTTTTCGGCGGCCTTAGTTCCTGAAATATTTTTCTCATAAGGATTTTAAATTCTTCGTTAAAGAGTTATAAAAAAAAATGAACTAAGCCAACCAGCTAGAGGGTGAATAACATCAAAAGTATTTGAAAATCTGACAAACAAAAGTACAAGACTGTGTACTTAACAGCTTTAAGAAAGAAAAGAACTGCAATCGCGAATGGTACGATCAAAATTAAAACAATGAAAAAATATAGAAGTATTGATCACAATTTGGCGGTTTGATGGCTTCAACAAAAGTGTATACCATTTATTAACAACCTCTTAGCTCACTGTAGGCCTGTTTTATAAGTTGTATGTTTATAAATTATTGTTCAAAATCAACTGACCCCTCGCAAAGACCTGCCCCCCTTGGTTACTGGTGCAACGTCCGACAAGCCATGGCGCTCTCACGCCACACATCATGTTCTCACGTGGTGAAAAATACATTGCGGAGCAAAGAGGACACTGAAATCACGTCGACAGACAAGACAGCAGGTTACTTCAGGTATGAATCAAAGTGTCAGCCTTCTAATTTATTTATTTTTTCTTTTTAAGAAATTCAAACAATAAATACCGTTTTGTGGCTCTGTAATGTGTTGTGACAGATTGCTGTAGCGCCTCAGCTCAAGTGGCACATGAACCGATCATCTCTTCCTCTTTACTAGTTATAGCACGAAATGAACATGAATGAACATCAGAAGATATCTTGTTTCAACCACGGAAAGACGTCAATACACATAATTTTTCTTTTTCGAGTTCAAGTCCACCACGTTAATCTACTCTCCTGCCTGGTTTGTTTGTCAGACAAAATGGCAGATTCTGCGTTATGATTGGTCAGATCGCCTGTCAATCAAACTCCCGGTGAAGGGTCAATTGCTCTATGGAGAAAATTAATGCAACTTTACTTCCAGGAACCTGACTGTTGCTCTCTATTGCCAGTCTAAAACCATATGAACATGTGGAAGTTGGCCGCAATGTTCACAATACTTTGCAGAGATGCAAGCTCTAAAAATAATGAAAAGGCACCATAAAATCACCAAAAATATGTTTACATTGGTCTTGTACGCTATATTCCAAGTCTTCTGAAGCTGTATGATAGATTTGTAAGAAACTGAATGAAATTTCGGTCACACAAAGCTATCGCAAGGCTTCTGAAGATTTGAAATTTAGCAAACAAGTAATAAATAATATATTTGTAGTGATTTTATGATGCTTCTTTGTCATTTTTAGGGCTTGACAAAAGTGATGCACCAAAATTTTGGCAACTGAAATTATTTGGCCGAAAAAAATAATTTTTGGTTTTAGACAAAATAGTATTGGAGGACCTAAATTATTGACTGAAACAGTGACATTTTATTAGCTCTTCTCTATGGAAGCCATTACTTTTTTTTATTTTTTTTTATTCAGTGGCAGAAACGGGCTTCCATACTTCTCTGATGTGTTTTGATCTTCATTATCTATTTAATGTAGAGATGCACCGATCGATTGGCCAGGGATCGGAATCGGCCAATTTTTACAATGAAGACTACAGACATTAAATTAATCAAATGTAAAATAACACTGGATGTGTTATTTTACATTTGATTACTGTAATTTCTGTAGTATTTCTTACCTGAATAAAATCTTACTTAACCTGAAAAACTTAGTTTCATAGCTCTCTTTATTCTATTGCATTTATTTGTGCTGTTGTTTGCAAATTTTTTTTATTCTTATTTTATTTTTACTTTTTACTTGTGTTTTTTTAATTAAAATAAAACTTTGCGTTGAAGAAAAGTAGATTTTTGTTTGTATATGCTGTCAATTATAGTTCTTAGAAAGAAAATTGGAATCGGCAAAAATCGGAATCGGCAGATCACACACAACAAAAAATCGGAAATCGGAATCGCCCAAGAAAATTGCAATCGGTGCATCTCTAATTTAATGCACACAACATGGATAATCTACAAGACGTAAAAAAAACTATTCTTAAAGTAGCAATGCGTAAAATTTATGGGCTGAAATATCGAGAGGAGGCTTGTTGAAGAATATAGTAGAATATAGTAAATGTAGACCTCTTTTAAAATGAAGTGTTCATTCAGCTCCTCAGGTTCCTCCTCCTACATCTCGTAATGGGGTTCGGGAAACGCCACCCCCTCCACCCCCTTACCGTGGCGGGCCACAAACATCTTCTGAACCCCCTAGTCGAGGGAAGCCCCCTCCTCTCTCCTCTACTGGACACCAGTCTTCAGGACATGCACCTCCTCCTCCTCCACCTCTCCGGAATGGACATACGTCATCTGCCCCCAAGTCCTTTTCTGGTGAGTTCCACCATATTCATCAAACAGATAATGCAATCTTTATTTGGAACATCAGTTCATTCTCTTAGTTGCTCATTTGTTTGTGTGTGGGAAGTGCTCTTAGATCAGAACTTTGATTTTGGTTGTGGACCTGTAGTCTATTGTGCATCAGCACATGAAAATAACCCTGAAGTCAAATGAGCTCTCAGTAATTCAAATGCGGCCCACTTATTTCCTCATTACACCCGTCAACAAAGCCTTCTTAGAACACAGCGATGTAATGCCAGATAAGTAGTTCTGAAAAATAAGGTCGTCATTTTTCATGTAATGTAATTTAGTCCATTGCGTTGCGTGTTTCAGAGCGAGTCTGTGTTCATTTACACGTGAGCAGGAGCAGCACATGATCCAGTGTTTTCAGTGTCTCCATGTGGCTCCGTTCACACTCAGTGCTGCTCCACACAAACTCCAACTCTGAATGTGCATTTAGCAATTGAAATTGCAATGTATGACTAAATTATATTTTTTACCAAATCATGCATCCCTTGTTTTAAGTTCACTTAAATTAAAAGTTGTTTTATTTATTTTTTCTAAACCTATTAAATGTTAAAAAATATTAGAAATCTTTTGTAACATTAAATGTCTTTACTGTCACCTTTGATCCTTGATGAATAAAAGTATTAATTTCTCTATCTTTTTTTTTAAATGTTACATACCCCCAAACTTTTGAATGGTTGTGTATCACAATTTCCACAAGAATAAATAAATAAATACAAAATAAGCAGCACAACTGTTTTCAACATTGATAATAACAAGAAATGTTTCTTGAGCAGCAAATCAGCATATTAGAATGATTTCTGAAGGATCATTTGACACTAAAGACTGGAGTAATGATGCTGAAAATTGCTGGGGAATTTTTTTTAAATATATTTCAATTAATAAGTTATTTTAATTACAATTCCATTTCACAACATTCCTGTTTTTATTGTATTTTTTAACAAATACTTGCACCATTTGGATTTTTTTTAGTGTACATTGTTTATTTAATGTATTTAAATATACATTAAATATACATACATTACATAATGTATGTTTATTTAATGTATTTCTTTAAATATTTAATGAAGCTTTAATCTGCAAAGGACTGTGGAATAGATGAATAATATTATTTTCTAATATAATTATTTTTCAGATTATCACAGGTTTCATATGAAGAACTAGCAAAAACATTTGTGAAAAGTTGTTCTAACAGCCACATCCTAAATTAAATTAATGTGCTAATCTTGACATGGTAGTTAAACATCAGCATATGCAAAGCTACTTGTCCACTAGGTAGTGCATAAAATAGTCTTGTCGTTGATTGATAAATGTTTGATGTCTCTTCTCAGATGATTTTGAGTCCAGGTATGACTTCCACCCTATAGAGGACCTTCCCCCACCTGAAGAATACAGACCCTTCCAGAAGAGCTATCCCAGCCAAATCAACAAGAGTAAAGACCTTACTTTTAACTTTGACCTATCCATAAAGATAAACCTTTACAGATTTTGTTGTACACATTTCCTCATGTCCTCTTTATCTTTCATTCTCCAGCTTTAGTGAGAGGTGTTCCTCCACTGCCTCCTGTTGGAGGAAGATGAACACTGTGTTCAGAGAAGAGAAGGACCACAAAGAGCTGACATATAAACACATACACACACAAATACGTACATGCGTACACACAGTATGTATTTATGTGTGTTTGCCACACAAACATTAATTACACCTTCAAATACATCTAAAAATGTGACATCGTTCATAGGGCAACACTATAAACACCTACATGATCTCTGATCCAAACCACTCCAGAATGCTGTACCTCTAGACCTGAAAACACTGTGCAATATTCCTGTGCTGCCTAGAAATGCACCTTTCAATATTGTCTCAGATCACAGCGGCACAGCAATGCGAGAGCAGACAACTCCAGTTAACATGAAGCTTGATGTGTACATTCCTTACAGCAACCAGTTTTTATTCAATGAGAAAATGTGTAGCACTTTATAGATTATTGATGACTATGCATATCAGACAAAAAGACAATTGTGTGTTTTTATTCTTCTTTTTTTTTTATTTCCAAATCAGTCAGGAATGAGTTAAATTCTGAGGCCATGAAACAGCCTTGTTTCTTGTTCAATCCACAGTTGTGTTTTCCTCCTCACACTACAAAGTAAGACACTACAATGGCCAATATGGTCACATAGGTTTTAAGAGGAGAGCTGATTTAAAAAAAAATAAAATGTATATATTTTTTTGGCTCGATGTTGAATCTAAACTACTTCTTTTTTTACTGACCAAATATACACTAAGTGCCATCGGATCTGTTTGAAGACTTGGTCTTGTTGGAGATCTGTGTTTTTGAAACAGTACACAGGTAGTGCCATCTTCTGGCTCATCTGCACCCTTTCTCCTGGGTACCAATGTTTCTGGGTCATTTATAAATTGCATTTTCATAATTCGTGTTTTAAACCTAAGCTGAATTTCAGGAAATCAATTTTAGTAGATTTGGTATAAAACACTACAAGTTTTCTAATGGGCATATTTTAATTCTGTGACATTGTATTATGTTATAAAGAGACCAAGTATGTTAATAATGTTCAGGCGGTTCTGGCATAGAAGTATAGAAGAGTATAATTGGGATTTGGTGACCAATCATTCTGACTTGTAAATGTAATTTTATCTGTTTCTGAATGTGTTAAAATATGTGTAAACATAATTCTGAAATAAAAGGTGGGAATGGGAATTAAATCATGTGCTTCTTTACAATAATGACACATATTTCATATATGATAAATGTGTGGTTTTTGTTAATACATTTTGCTTTATAATTGGTCTTTCACATTTACGCAAATGATTAACAATCAGAGTCAGGTATTTCAGAGAGTCCTGGAATTTTTCAAGTCTGAGAATGGTTGAGGATTCTCGGACGTAGGACAATGAACAGGGATGGGGAGGCTGAGACCGGAACCTCTGGGTCATGAGATGATCTTCTGGGATCACAATGAACATGACATGGAGCTCTTCCATAAAATCAGTTGTGACAGGGCATTTTGGGACTGTCCCTAAGCAAGCAATAACATTGAATACTAATATACCACTTAAATCCAAGGCGCTAGACACTACACTAGGGCACTGAGTGAACTTTTGAACTGTGGTGGGAAGTAGTTTACATTTTCCCTGTTTCTTTCTTATTGGGTGACCTGAAATAAAAAATAGAAATGAGGGTTATTGTTTACATATATCACACTTAGAAGAGATTTGACTATAAATGTCTACCCATGTCACAAAAAAACAACATATAAAAACAAATACACAAAACAATAGGGAGTCAAAATTTGAATACATCTCCAAAGTCATTTGTAGCTGATCTAAGGCTCACACTGTAAACCATGAATGGTGAAGGATTTGCTCCAAAGCAATCCGCTTGCAGCATTCTGTGGAGAAAGATGAGAGAGAGAGAGAGAGAGAAACACGAGAGAGTCGGATTATAACCTTGAACTTTACAAATTGCATACCGGCTCAAAATGTTTGCTGATTTGCAGGTGGTACGACTTAAAGGCCACCCAAAAGAGGTTCCTGAAGACCATGATCCACTACATTTTGATCTAAAGCAGGAAATATCAACCAAAAACATGATTCAGCCAAATAATAATTAAATATTACTTAAGAATATAATGATGATTCTTAGTTTGATTAGGTTTAGGGTAAGTTATATCTCCACGAATGGACAGTCATATCTACTGAAAAAAAGATAACTATATGTTCTCTTCTGGCTGGTGGTGCACATGATTTCATCTGTTTAAAGATTGGACAAATGTCCAAGTGTGGAAATTTGACTTTCAGATTTCTCATGTCACAACAGACAAACAACATAAGAAAACAAATGAATAAAAAATACAAAATAAATTATGAAAAGGGGCCTTCTTGCCATCATTTTCTAAATGCCCTTCATGTAAAATATGAAATGAGATATCCCATAAGTGTATATTTTGACAACTCAGTTGAATAATTTAATAATAACAGCCAAATCAAAGAGATACAGCTGATTCCATAATTATATACAGCCCCATATTCACAATCAAATTTCAAAATATAATTTATATTCTTTTTACGGAAATATATATTTATATACCAATATGACCATCCTCGACCCAGTTAGTGGCACTGCTGTCACAGAAACAAAGACAGGCACAGCTATATCCCATAGATTTAAGAGGAAATTAAACAACAAAGAAATAAAGCTGAAAATCATTTGATTGTTTTATGTAGTTATTTTCAAATACATTGTCCCAGAAGAATTCAAGAGTGGAAAATGCAAGCCTGTTCTCGAGCCCTGTGACCACACTTCCCAGTCAATCCCATATTGCAAAAACTGAATGAATGAATGAATGAATGAATGAAGCATTTATATAGTGCTTTACAATCATGTGAGGGGGTCTCTCCTCAACCACCAGCAGTGTGCAGCATCCACCTGGAGCATATAGTGAAGATTAGGTTATGTAATTAGGTTGTTGTTTTTTTATTATTCCAAGTACTCTAAAAAGAAATAGATTTGGGAATCAGGGTCAAAGGAGTTGGATGATATGTTAAAACTGCTAACTTTCTGTGGCCTATTTCATCTTCATAAATGTAAAATTACTGACTGTATGCCCAATTGTAGACTTTTTTTTTGTATTGATCTAAAACTATTAATATGATTCTCTTTGCTCATCACTTAATAAGAAAGCTGCTAAAATAGCTGTACTGATGAAAAAAAAAAAGATTTCACAGCAAGGGTTACCTCCTGATTTCCTGAAGCTGACATTTTTTGTTTAATTATTCTTTTTTTTGTTTTAGATGTTTCTGTTAGGTTCTTATTTGTTTGTTTTTCTGTTCATATTTCTTTTTAATTTTATCTATTTGTTTAGGCCTAACTATTTTAGTAGACTATCACAGTTTTGTATTCTGGTTTTGTATATGCTTTATTGCTCTGCGTCAATTCAAGTCATATGCTGTTCTTTTAAATATTTGTGTATGTATACCTTGTGAGTGTTATCTTAAATAAAATAAATAAATAAGAAATATGCATAATATTCAAGCCTGTTTTTAGATGAGTAAATACGAAAAAAACATACAAAATGGCCATAAAAGACCAAAAACTTTCAATAAATAAGAGCTAATATTAATAGTATGTCATAGTCATAGATCAGGAACTCAATGTATAATGTACCAATGTATAATCGAATTCAGAGTATTGCAACATTTGTCTTTTGAGTGCGTGCGTTTATGAGACAGAAATGAGCCTGTCACTGTGAAAATCTGGTCTACACCTGGAAGGTTAAAATAAATTTGTCAAGAGTGGATATTGATGGTAGAATACATCAAAACTGCAGTTAACTGGGAAAAACTTTCTTAATAATTCCCGGGAAATTCTTTCCGCCAAAATACCAACAAAGAAATAACCCGCCTTTACAGTCAAGTCAATGGGGGAAGGGACTAAGAATCCTATTGGTTCCTTAAAACTCCGACAGCCAATGAAATGCGTAGTCATGAGATTCACGTCACACGCCAGCTGTTCAGAGAAGGAGGTCACAACAGCACGTTTGGCGCTAGTTTAGTTTGACGGCGGGCAAGTGAGTGTGCTGAGGAGCTTATTCTGAGAGACCTACAACTTGTGAGAATCGTAGCGATTGTCAACACAAATTCAGGTAAGACATTAAATATATTCATTCTATAGTTCTTAAAAGATTGTTGTGCAGTAGTTTTAAAATAAGATTACTTTTATTCAGAGTTGTTATGCGCATGAACAAACAGCTTGGCGCCAAATGACCCACAGCAGGAACTGCTCACTTATAATTTACAGTATTTGTTGAACATGTACAAATGTATCTGCAACAAATAAAAACATTTATTTGTTAATGTACTTATTTTTGTATCGTGGTAGTGATATAGATCCGACGGGAAGCATTAACAAAATAAGTAACTTAACCACAAAGTGCCTGTGGGTTCAAACCACCAAATGGAAAGGAATGCATTGCTTGTGATTTTTGATCTGTGTAATTCTGCACAAAATGGGTTAAGTTTTTGTTGTCTGACTTGATACAACTACAACCAACCCCCAACGGGTTTTAGGTTAGAATGGCTTTAATGACTCGCACCTCAAGAGTCTTCAGGAAATACTACACTTACTTGCTAAATTCTTGATGGGTTATCTCGGTTTCCTCCTCAAGCTATTGTGCATCAGAGGTTATTGATGTTTGATTTACTGTAAACTAAGTCACTGTGCTTTTTCTTTCAGATCTGCTTCCTGGTGTCAAACTTAAAATGCCCAGCACTCGCTCACAGAATCAGCCCACCCTTCAGTTCCCCCGAAGGAAGTCTTCCAGATTGGGTTCTCGACCTAAAAACTCCTCTGAGAATGCAGTGGACGTCCAGGCCAACCCTCTGTCCCCTAGAAAGTCAAATGTGGGAGATTCGCTTGATGTCTGTCTGTCTCCCAGGAACTCAGTGTTGAAAAACACCTCTTTGTCTGAGAGGCTGCCCTTGAGCCCCCGCAAACGTACAGGTGTGTAAATCATCACCTTTAAACAACCTTTGTGATTGTTGTTCTTGAATCTTTTATTTATGAAGCTCTTGGTTTTCAGGTGACGAGAATGGCTGTAACCTCCTGGCCTCTATGCTTGGCTCTCCTCCTAAGCAGCGCTGTGCTCCTCTGTGCTCCCCTCGCAAACTGTCCTTTAATGAGAACACACCGGTCTTCTCCTCACCTCCACATCCCACACCGTCGTCACCGAAAATTCCCCTGTCTCCTATTTCGCGTCCATCTCCAAAACGGCTGCAAGAGACCCCCTGCACAAACCCAATCCCCCGAACAGAGGGAAAGCTCCCCGTTACTCGTCTCTTTCCTGTAAAAAGTATGTTTTAAGTGTTTGTTAGCTAATTGTAATTTTTTATTTGCTTAAATATATTAAAATCGGTGTTGATTCTTGTCACATATTGCCCAATTTCTGATATTTGATAAGTAATCTGTATCTCTGTTGTGGGCTCTTTCCTGCAGAATCGGGTTATCAGAGTGTAAAGCAGGCTCTTCACACTGCAGTACCAGAACGTCTTCTCTCTCGTGAGGCAGAGAGAGCTGCCATTGTCTCCTTCTTGGACAACCATGTGGTGGCGGAAAAACCCTCCAGCCTCTATATCTCTGGTGCTCCTGGCACAGGCAAGACCGCCTGTCTGAACTGTGTCCTCCAGGAACAAAAGGTGAGCTCAAGAGAAAATATGGTGGTTTGTAACTCTAAAATCACTTTAGAATACACTACTGATTAAAAGTTTGGGGTCAGTAAGACAAGCAAGATGCATTAAACTGATCAAAAGTGATGTTTAAAATGGTACAAAAGATCTGTTTTAATTGCATGCAGTTCTTGTGAAATTTCTAATTTAAAATTTATTCCACAAAAATATTAAACAGCACAACTGTTTTCAACATCGATAATAAGAACATTTCTTGAGCAGCAAATCAGTTTATTATTATTATTATAGCATATTATTGTTATTTTAAAATTGTAATCATTTCACAATATTAAATATTTTACTGTACGTCTTATTAAAAAAATAAGCTTGGTCAGCATAGGAGACGTCTTGTAAAAACATTTTAAAAAAGGAATCTTCCCAACCCTAAAAATTTGAATGGTACTGCACATCAGCCTTTACTTTTAAAAATCTGTGATGTGTAAGATTGTAACATGAACTTAAAATGAAATTACACCTAAAAACCTTGGTGCTTATGGTCAGCTGTCTTCTCCGCTTGTTTCAAGGCTCTGTTGAAAGGGGTTCAGACTGTGCTCATCAACTGTATGAACCTGCGAAGCTCGCATGCCATCTTTCCATTGCTGGGAGAGAGACTGGGGGTTCCAAAGGGGAACAGCGAGGCTCGGCTGGAGAAACTTCTGACCAGCTCTGGGCCCACTGTGTAAGTCAGCTTGCATGCAGGCAGGGCTCCTCTTGTGCTAATTTGCATGAAACCATTTCAGGTTTTGAACTCATTATGTACTGTGACTGAGATCAGCTTTTGTAGTCTGATTCAAACAGGCCCTATTCCTTTGAGTAATTCTTATGGTGTTTTTGTGTGCAACAGCCTGTTGGTTCTCGATGAGATGGATCAGTTGGACAGCAAGTCTCAGGAGGTTCTCTACACGATCTTTGAGTGGCCTTACCTGCCCAACTCTCGTGTTTGTCTCATTGGTAAGATTGTCATGCGTTTATCTTCCCAAATTTTAATATGTGACTTAATTTCTACTAACAATCTTGAATGCAGAGCGGATTGTTTTGAATGTCTGCTTACTGGTGAACTTTGACCCCTTAGGTATTGCTAATGCATTGGACCTGACGGACCGTATTCTGCCCAGACTGCAGGCCAAACCACATTGCCGACCCAAACTGCTCAACTTCCCTCCCTACAGTCGTGAGGAGCTCAATGCCATCGTCCAAGACCGGCTCACACAAGTATGCCTACTTGCATATTTCCTGTTATACGTACTTCTCCAAACTCACATTCTGAGGTAATAATACATTGGTGTGTTCGTGTGTGTTCAGGTATCAGGTGAAGGTGTTCTGGACGCAGCGGCAGTTCAGTTCTGTGCAAGAAAAGTTTCAGCTGTGTCAGGAGATGCCCGCAAAGCACTTGACATATGCAGGTAAGAGAACCCATTTTAAACCGCTAAAACAAGAGTGTGACTTAGTTTTGAGAGGTTCTCACACATTTGTGTCTATCCATCAGGAGGGCCGTGGAGATTGTGGAAGCAGCTGACAGGTCTAAAATGGCATCCGAACCTGTGGCCAGCCCTGAAGGTAAGAATTACTGTACTATATTTTCCAGAAAATAAGTTGTACTGGGACAAGATTGCATCAGTGTATAAGTCATTGTTATCACCAGGCTAGATTGTCTATAGAGAAAAAGAAATGAGGGATTTGTCTCTACTTTCTTGTTGCAGTGTCACGGGTGAGCGTTCCTCAGGTGGCACGGGTTTTGACTGAGGTGTATGGTGACCGCATGGCATCCAGCAGCGGGGATGGCGAGTGCTTCCCTTTGCAGCAGAAACTTCTGGTCTGCTGTCTGCTTCTAATCGTCCGTAATGGCAAGAGCAAAGAGGTGCAGTTGGGCAAGGTGAGTCAAACTTTGATTGTCTCTATATTTTAACAGGAAAATTGTTTGCAGACCCTGTAATTTCAGTGTTCAGAATACATTGAGGAAGACATGAGAAGTTATTCTGGGGCTGATAACCTTATTTGTGTTTCTCCAGCTGTGTGAGGTGTACAGTAAGCTGTGTAAGCAGAGGCAGGTGGGAGGTGTCGGACAGACCGAGTGTCTGTCTCTCTGCAGTCTGCTGGAGAGCAGAGGAATCTTCACACTCAAAAAGGCTAAGGAGGCGCGATTAACTAAAGTAAGAGCAGTTTTCAATCATGAATAGTATGGCCTTTGGATCATATTGATTTAAGCCCAATTATACTTCGGCTGTCCACGTTCCGTGAGGGTCTGTGCACTGTCCACGTAACGCAATTTCTGCAGACGTCAGCATACAGCCCAATTTTCGTTTCCGCATGGACAGTCCACATACAACAGCACAGGCACGAGATGAATGTTGAGACCGAATGAGTCCACTAGGTGGTACTGTGCATGTGTCAAACACATCCATCTACGCTCCAGTATACTTTTGAAAGCTGTGCATGAGACATTGGAATGTGGAAAAAGTATACCTGGGCTTTAAGATTTTCAGTGAATCAGTATCTTAATTCATTACAACTTAATGAGGCATCTAAATTTCAATATTGTTTTCTCTTTTCTAGATTTCCCTGAAGATTGAAGAGCGAGACGTGGAGAATGCTTTGAAGGATCGAACTCTCCTTGGTAGCATATTAGCGGCTGGTCTGCCATAAATTCCATGAGATTTTAACTTTTTTATTATTAATTTTACTTTTTTCCTCATTTGTCTTTTATATTGCTTAGATGTGAAAGTCTTGTTTAAAATGAAATGTGCTATTTCATAGAGTGATTTGATCCAAAAGGGTTGATTTCTCCATTGTTTGTCAAATATTTGCCTGCCTTTTTAAGTGTTTTTTTTTTTTAATTTTTTTATGTATTCTTATATTGGCATGAACTCTT